CGATCGACGAGGAGCTGGCGGTGCGTTTGTCCACGGAGTACGGGCACGGCCTCATCGACCTCGCCAGTTTCTACGACACGATCGGGTGGATGATGCTCGGACGGACGGCACTCAGGCTCAACTTCCCTGCGGAGATTCTGGGGCTGGAGCTGCTGCAGTGCATGGCCCCGCGTTGCGTGCGCCAGTCGGGCGCGTACTCGGCCCCTTTTGACCCCGCGAGGTCCATCGTCCAGGGCTTCAGGTCTGGGACACGTTTCGCCAAGTGCGTTGCGTGCCATATCATGGCAAAGATCACGACGGTGCATGTGGACATGTCCCGCAGGCTGTGGATCGACGATTTGAGCCAGAGTTATCGAGCGTCACGACGGGCTATGATTTCCAAGATGGTGCAGTGTTTATCTGACACCGGTGAGGCCGTCCAGAATGCTGGCTTGCAGGTCTCCACGAAGAGCGTGGTCCTCTGCACTCGGCTGTGCGACGCCAAGGTGATTGCACGACGCTTGCGGCTCAAAGGCTACCACCTCAACGCGGTGGGTCAGACGGCCTACCTTGGTGGCGACATGGGCGGCGGCAAGCGACATGCCAGAGCTACACGCACGGCTCGGATCACTAACCACAATAAGATGAGTAAGAAAGTTCTGCAGTACGCTCGGGCGACGAGGCGGTGCGGCTTGACGAGCCGCCTTGAGCAGCAGGGCGCCCAGGCCGCAGGCACGTTTGGACATCAAATTCATGTATTGTTTGGTCAGCAGATGTTGCAAGTACGACGCAAAGTTGCTAATGCAGTTGCCCCGAGATTGTCAGGGCGATGTTTGACTACCCTGCTCGGCCTTCGCGCACCTCAGCGCGACCCAGCTTTCAAGATGCCAGTGGAGTGTTTGCGTTTGTGGTTGTCTTGCTGGACCTCAGCTCCTCACATTCGGTCTGGAATCAACCAGTCGTGGCATCGTTTGGCACAGGAACCCAGAAGCATGCCACCTGAGCGACGGCACCGTTTCATCCGAGGTCCCCAGGGTACGGTCACCACGTACTTGCTCGAGGCAGGATGGGACCCAATCACCCCGTCAGAGTGGTAGATACCATCAGACAGCACTGGTCTGGTCAACAGCTGGGAGTTTAAGGTTGAGAACCTCACGGGCTTCAGCAGCGTTGACATCCCAGAGCAGTTCTTTTCGGAGTTCACACGCACGATCCAGTGGCAGTTGTGGTTTGCAGCTTCCTCTCACTTCGACGGAGCTGGGATGGATCAGGGTATCCACAATGCTTCTAACCGTCAACTACCCCGCCAGCTGGAGGCAGCTCCAGGCGGCCGTCGCCTGGCTGGCCTTCTGCTGGCATCTGCGGCTGGTGCAGCCTGGCCGCGAGCCCGTCGACAGCAGAGGTCTAAGCAGAGCATCTCCGAAGTCTGTATGAGGTGCAATGAATGCAAAGAGACAGCATTTCATCGAGTATGGGAATGTTCAGGCCGCAAGCGTCACGAGATCTAGGACCTCTTCGGCGAGTTCGTCGCCAAGGCGCATGTGGGTCGTGAGGCCGAGGCGTGCTTCTGGGTGCGCGGCCTGATTCCCGAGCCATGGCTGGAGGTGCCAGAGCCGATCCAGGAGGAGGATTGGACATGTCACGGCATCGATGGCTTTGGCGAAGCATGTTTCCCACACGGGTCAGAGGCTGCGCCCACCTTCATCTTCGGCGACGCCAGCGGGGGCAAGGATGCCAGTAGTGCTGCTCTCCGACGAGTCGGACTCGCAGTGGCGGTGTTCTCTGACCTGACCCACCACATGATGATCGAGATCGGCGTCTGGGGCGGCCTCCCAGGCACAGCTCAGACGGTGGCGAGAGGCGAGTTGTACGCCCTGTGCCCCGCCGTGCGCGGCGGCAACGACAGCGCTGTCTTCGTGACGGACAACGCTGCTGCATGCTCAGGCTGGTACAATGGCCGCCCCGCCACCCCGTCAGGTGAAAATGCAGATTTGTGGTTTCACATTGGAGCTGTCTTGAAGGCCCGTGGCACCCAATTGTCCATCACAGTCATCTTTGTGCACTCACACCAGGAAGCTATAGACATGTGCAAGAGTAGGACCACTGCGCCTTTCATTCTCGGAAATGCTGTTGCCGACGAGTTAGCAGGTGTAGCAGCGAATTCCGTGCGTGTTAAGGCCGATGCTCGTGCACGTCTGTATCGTACTGAACGCATGGCATACCTAGTTAGGATGAGAATTCTCCTGAGCACGTTAGAAGCGATCGAAGCTGAGCAACAGTCTGAGGGCTGGAGGCCCCGTCAGAGGCACCCTGGACCTAGGCCCCCCTGCCCCAATGGTCTGTAGTATGTTCAGCTCTCAGCATCAACTGTCCGTGTCAGGTCTTTGTTGTAATCGTTGCAAGGGGTCGACCCCTCAGGCCCAGAAGAAGGCCTGGCTGGACTCTCCGTGTTTCCCCCTTTCTACGGGCGGTGGTGCAGTTTGGGAACCCCCCCCCCAGGGCAGCGGGTGCGCGTTGGGGGGGGGGGGGGGGATACGCCCATCCGTCTCACCGACTTAAATATCATGCTGGACTGGGGGTTTGGTTTTGCACTACCTGTGGAAGCTTTGCAGCAGAACAGCTGGCTAAGTTATCCAAGGAATGTGAACCTAAGCGTAGTCGTCAAGACTACATTTCTCGAATCCAACCGGGTTTTTGGCCCAAGCAATACAGCAAAGCTGAGCGAACCAAGCGGGCCGCGGCGGGTAAGCCCGTGTAAGTTTGCTGTTCGGGTCTTCATTAAGTAACCGACATGGTCGCAATATCCGTAACTCCGTAACTCCTCCTCCTCCTCCTCCTCCTCCTCCCCCTCCTCCCCCCTCACTTGGCCACCCTAGCCGCATGCCGTATCCTCATACCAGAATTTGCATGTACACGTTATGTTTTATGAGTAGTATAGGATCAGCAACGTCCGATGACAAATTATCGGGAAGAGAGTCCAAGACGCAGCACTATCGGGATTACCAGGAGATGATCGGAAATGGACACTTTGAGTGCGGGCTATGCTGTAACACCGCGGGCGCCCTCAACTCCTTGTGGACGTTGTGCCAGAGTCGACGGAGTCCGCGACGCTAGAGACCAACTTGCAACGACATTGTTTTTTGCAGGGGGTAACGTGGGGTGGGGTGGGGGGTCTGCTATCAACACGACGACTACAAGCCGCCTGTTTTGCAGCTGCAGTTGGTCGGCGAAAGTGTTTTTGGGTCGCTCAACAGCAATCTTTCTCCCTTCCCCTCCCAATGCTCTCCTCTTCCATTCCCCTCACCTCATCCTTCCCGTCCTCCTCTTACTCCTCCTCTTCCTCCCCTCCTCCTTCCCTCTCTGCCCTCCCCTCCCCCTCTGGGACAAGGGTCTCATCTCGTTGAGGTGTGCAGCATGGCAAGTGGAGTGGAGTTCAGTGGGAGCGGTAACAGCAGCTAGGACCAGCCGACAGTTTCCTTGTCTCCCCCTTGACCGCCTCCCCCTGTTCTCCCCCTCGTTTCCTGTAAATCCCTTCTCTCCCTTCCGTTCCACATCCCCTCCCGCATGTCCCACAGGTCTCACAGGTCCGGCAGTTCCCGCAGGTCCCGAAGGTCCCACAGGTCCCACAGGTGTCGCATGTCTCGCATGTCCCACACAAAGGTCCCGCAGGTCCCACAGGTCCCGAGGATGGGGTCTTTTCTGGGCTTCCAGGACGGCGGTGACACGCGCCCGCGAGCAGAGACACAGATCAGCGCCATGGGAAAGGGATGGGAGGGGAGGGGTGGGGCTGTCAGATGTGGCACGCGCGCGCGCGCCCAGCCCGAGCTTCCCCGCCTCTCCCGTCCCCCCTCCCCCTCCCCTCCCCCGCCTGGCTGGTCGGTGCGCAGAGTGGTGGTCATCCTCTGAGCGGGCATGCGTCTCACAGGCTTGAGCAGAGGAGCCTCCCCGTCCAGGCTGCGGTTAAGTCGGGCGTGTCGCTCTACAGGTGGAATCTTCCAAAATATGACAAACATGATATGGGGACGATTGTTCTACCATTTTTGACTCTGTTTTGGCATTCTTTGGGTATTTTTTTACGTTTCGTCCAAGATCCGCCGGTAGGAGGACATGCCCGACATGAGGCCACGGCCTCCGCGCCCCGCCCCCTGGTTGGCCCGGGCGAGGAGCACGCACGACTCCAGCGTTTCGCTTCTCGCTTCGCTTCGCTTCCCCTCCTCGCCTCTCGCGCCTCCCCCTTCTCGGAGGCGGAAAAGGCACCCAGCATGCCTCTACCCTTCGCCCGCTTTCCCCCTTTGGGGCCTCGGAGGCCCTCGTGGCCACTGCTGGATTCGCCTCGAAATCCGGGTCAGAACGCACCCCAGGAGAGGTCCAGGGAGTAGCGGTGTCGGTGCCTTTTTTGTCTCCCCCTCCTCCTCCTCCTCTTCCTCCTCCTCCTCCTCCTCCTCCTCCTCCTCCTCCTCCTCCTCCTCCCTCCTCCCTCCTCCCTCCTCCCTCCTCCCTCCTCCCTCCTCCCTCCTCCCTCCTCCCTCCTCCCTCCTTCCTCCTTCCTCCTTCCTCCTCCTCCTCCTCCTTCTCCGTCCAGACCTCGGCCCTGCTCCTGCTCCCGCGCCTCTCCCTCCTCCTTGGGGGGGGGGGATGCCTCGCCGAACTTGAGGGGGCTCGCCAGTCCGCCCCTGCCGGCCCGCGTGTCTCACACCACCTCTGATGCGCTCGCTCGCGGAGTCTGCTGTCGTTGGGGTGTCCGATCTCCTCTCCTCCCCAAGAATAGGGTGGATGGCTGGGGCCTGGGTGGTTTTTGCCCGCTGGGCAGGGCGGGATATAGACACTGCCCTGATTGTTTTTGAGCTCCAAGCTCCACCCTTGCGCCGCCCCCCCCCCCCCCCCCCCAAAAAAAAGGGGGGGGGATAGCATACGGCGCTGCGGAGCTTGACGCTTCTTCCCGCGGAGTCGATCCGATCCGATCCTCGTCCAACCTTCTGACGTATCGTCCGCGGTGATCTGGCGGCTGCCCCTGCCCTCAGGTACGACTCCCGCACCACCACCTTCTCGCCCGAGGGCCGCCTGTACCAGGTGGAGTATGCCATGGAGGCTCTCGCGAAGCGTGGGGGAGCCCGGGCGTCGGAGGAAGCACTGCGGAGGCTGAGAGGACGGCCTGTGTCTTCGCGGGCTTTGCCCTGGACCTTTGCCTCCCGGCGCGGTTCTTGGCTCGTCTGCCACGCCGCCCTCGAGTTCACGAGCCTGACCTCCGGCGCCGCTTGAAGATCTACAGGGTCTGAGAGCTCTCTGGCCGTTCCGCGGCCGCTTCCTTCTCCCGTCCTGCCTCTCCTTTGCTTCCCGCCGCAAGTAGCTGCGGATGCGTCCCGCCGTTAGCTGGACCGCTCGTTTGACCCTTCGCGGGCTGCCTGGAGATGGGGGGAACGAAACATGACATAAACATAAAGACTCGGAGGTCCGCGCGGATTTCTCCGATCCGAGCGCGCCAGGGGAGGCACCGGAGGCGTTGCCACGGGGGGCCAGCGCCAATCCATGAGATCCGCGCGGACCTCCGAGTTGTTATGTTTATGTCATTGTTCGCTCCCCCAGGGATGGCTTGGAACCAGTGACAGGGCAGCCGGAGGAGCGGGACGGGAGGCGGAGGAGGCTTCGCGCTTCGTGCTCCTCGCTGGCGCGGGGTGCGGTCATGTTCGCGTTCGCGGCGCCCCCCTGGAGAAGGGCCGCTCTGGGCCAGGCCTCCCGGCCTGAAGCGCTCGTGTCTTCGTGCTCCCGCGGGTGACCCGGGTTTTCGTGCGCCCAGCTGAGGGCACTCAAGTACGACAACACAATGTTTGCCTTCGTGGGCCCCGAACAGTGAGAGTGATCCAGCTGCCTGCGGGAGGTCCAGCCACCGTGCCAGCCCAGCATTCTGGGTGGGGACTGTTCGAGGGGGCACGGGATGCCGTCACGTGATGATGATCCTGCTGATGATGATGATGGTGGTGATGGTGGTGATGGTGGTGATGATGATGATTATTCTGGCGGTGATGCTGGTGGTGGTAATGAAGGTGGTGTTGATGATAGTGGTAGTGGTGATGGTGGTGATGGTGGTGGTGATGATGATGCTGCTGATGATGCCGATGAATATGTTGATGCTGATGTTTATGATGATGAGGATGGTAATGGTGCTGATGATGAGTATGATGAAGCTGATGATGATGCCGATGCTGCTGCTGATGATGATGTTGATGGTGATGAGGCTGGTGCTGTTAATGATGCTGGTGCTGATGCTGGTGCTGATGCTGCTGCTGCTGATGACGATGATGATGTTGACGACGATACAGATGAGGATGCTGATACTGATTATGATAGCTGATGCTGATGTCGCTGCTGCTGATGATGATGCTACTGCTGATACTGCTGCTGATCTTTATGTTTATTATGATGATTACTACGATGGTGCTGCTGCTGATGATGCTGCTGATGATGATGCTGATGGTGGTGGTGGTGGTGGTGACGATGATGATGATGATGATGATGATGATGATGATGATGATGATGATGATGATGATGATGATGATGATGATGAGGAGGAGGAGGAGGAGGAGGAGGAGGAGGAGCAGGAGCAGGAGCAGGAGGAGAAAGAGGAGCAGGAGGAGCAGGAGGAGGAGGAGCAGGAGCAGGAGGAGGAGGAGGAGGAGGAGGAAGAAGAGGAGTGGGAAGGCCGTCACACGTGACAACTTCACTAGTTGAAAAGCCCTCATGTATCTCGTTTGGGCCGTCTTGTGGCGGTCTTGGCCTCCTGGGGGTCCCTGGTGGCCCTCTTGGGGATGTTTTGGGCTCCTCTTAGGCCGTCTTGGGGTTCTCGTGGGCCGTCTTGGGGACCTCTTGGCCGTATGGTGGGTGCCTGGGTGCCGTGGGCCCGCCTTGGCGCTGTCTTGGGCAGTCGACGGCCGTCTTGGGTGCCACGGTAGGCCCTGTTGGGTCGAAATGGGGCCGTTTTAGAGCCAGTTTGGGCCGTCTTGGAGCCATCTTGGCTTCGGGAGCGCGAACTTGTAGTACGCTGTGAAAGATTTTGACCCTGGGAGCGCGAGCCCATGATATTTTACGAGGGATGGTGGCCTCGAGAGGGGGGGCGATTCATGCGGGGCAGCGTGACGAGAGGGGGGGGGGTCCCCTAGACGATGACAAAAACCCTTTCAGGCAGCACTTGGCAGTCTAGCACGCCCCAGCGTGCCATGGGGGCACGGTGGCGGATTGCACTGTAGATGTGTATAGTATGCGGTTCGCACCCATTTTGGTTCAAGGCTGTTGCGGCCTTGTGCCAGGCCCCCTGCCCCGTGTCCACCACGGCGACGCTGCTGTGCGGCCTGGGAGCCGCAAGCGCAACCACCGAGCGGGCTGAGAATCGTCGTCCGAAAACAGAGGTCGAACTCTAGAAACGTTGAGGCGAGCCTTGCGAAGGCTCTGCCGTGCCCTGGAAAAGGCTGGGCCGTTTTCTGAAAACATTGTGTGGCTTAGGGGGGATGGTTTTCAGGGTTCGCGGCGGGCAGCATTATCAGGGTCCGCAGGGGTACTCGGGGTTCGTAGCTTGGTTTTCCAGGTACGTTGTATTCAGCGTTTGAAGCCGTTTCCAGAGTTCGGGGGGTTTCAGGAGCAAGTTTTCAAGATGTGGCCTTCCCGGGGGGAGGGAGAGGGTTCCTCTCCTGCTGTTCCTGGTCTTCCTCCTGTTCTTCTCGTGCTCATCTCCTTCCCTTTTTCCTCCTCATCCTCGCTCATTGTCTCTTCTTCGCCGTCGTCGCCTTTGAGCTCGCTTGGAGCCTCCAGGACGTCCAGAGTCGTTCTCGCCTTAGTCCTTGTTCTCGTCGTTCTTGCCCTCCTCGTTCACCCGTTCTTCGTTTTCGCCACCCCTGCTTTGCTCCCATCACCTTGGTGTTGCTTTCGACTCCTGCTTTGTTCTCGTCACCTGTTTTTTTCCCGCCGTCGCAGGTTCGCTCTCGCCACGGAGGGCTCGTTGTCCTCGCCCGGGTTCCTTTTTCTCGACCTGGCTTTCGTTCTTTTCACAAGTGTTTGGCCCTCGTCACTCGGTGTTCGCTCTTTCCTGCCATGTGTAGCCTTCTCAACTTGGGGTAAAAGATCCGTCGCCCCTGTTTCTTTCGTCGCCCCTGTTTCTTTCAGTGTTTCGTCGTCTCTGCCTAAACTTGGATTTAGCCGCGCCTACTTCACTTCTTCGTTCTTTCGTTTCTTCACCTGGGCTTATTTGCTTCGCCATCGTTTCGTCACCCGCGTTTCGTGCTTTCATCCCTGTCTCGTTTTTGCCACCTGGGCTTCGTTTTCTCAATCTTAGTTTCTCTGTCCACCTAGGTCCCGTTTTCACCATTTCGGATCGGTTGTAGTCATCCGTGCTCGTTTTCAGGACTTTCGGTTCGAGTTCTCCCGAGGTCTGTTCGTTTTCTCAACCTTTTTTGGTTTCGTATCATGGCTTCCGCTTTCTCCACGTCTGCTTCGTTTTCGTCACCTTTGTTTCGCTAACTCCACCCCTGGCTAGTGTTCTTCGCTGTTAGTTTCGCTTCTCTACCCTTGTGTCGCTTTTCTCCACGTGGTTCACCTCCAGTGCCGTTCTCGTCGCGTAGGGCTAGTGTTCTCCATTTGGGTTTCGTGTTCTCCACCCGTGTTCCAACTTCACCAAGTGGGTCTCGCTTCATCCACCCCAGTTTCGAATTCCCCACTCAAGTTTTCACTTTCGCCACCTCTGCTTCGCTTTTGCCGTAATGGCTTGTTTCTATCTCTCTACCCAAGTGTCGCATGTCGCCTGGGATTCGTTCTGTGCACCCCTATTTTCCTCAAACAGTGATTGCACTTACGGCTTTTGGTTTTTCTGTGACATTTGAGAACGGGTCGGCAGCGAAATTCGAACCCAACCCTCGCCGATCAACGATTCAGGCAATTCGATGGGCGGCGGGGGTAGGGTTCGGAATTCGTCGAGCACGTGGCGGAATCCGAACCCTACTTCCGCCTCCCATCGATTCAGGAGAATCGATGGTTGGTGGAGGGTAGGGTTCGGATGGAGCCACCTATCTGTTCCTATCTACTGTGTGTGAGTGCCTGGCGATTTTCCGGTGTGGCCATCGGACCGCCCATGCGTTGCGAGTGAGTGCCCGCTGATTCTTCGGTGCGGCCGTGGGGTCTCGCCCAAGCGTTGCGTGCGAGTGCCCGCCGATTCTGGGGTTCGGCCGCGGGAGTTTCGCTTCTCCTCCTCCTTCTCCTGCTCCTCCTCCTCGCCCGCCGACTCCGCGTCGTGGCCACAGGGCAGGTCCCGCCCAGGTGCTGCGTGCGGGGGTCTGCAGATGCGCCGGCACGGCCATAGGATCCAGCGCACGCGTTTGGCACGAGTGCCCGTTGACTCTTGGATGCGGTCATGGTGTCGTGCCCATGCTTTGGCCGCAGATCCGTGGCTGCGGCCATAGATTTGTCTCGTCCAGGCGTTGCTCGAGGGGGTCCGCGGGTTCTGGGGTTCGGCCACAGTGTCCCACCCATGCGTCTCATGCCGGGCTCCACAGATTCTTATTTTTTTGCTGCATTGTTTTAGTTGGTTTTGCACCGCTCTGCGGGCGGCTACAGTACTTACATTGTGTTGCTCAGCTTCGCGTTGCGTTGTCCAGCTTTGCTTCGCTCATCGTCGTTATGTGTAGCTATACGTTGCCTCGCTGTGCTCTGCAAACCTCGCATACATCGTGCAACAATAACCGTGACATACATTCATAGCGCCGTACGTAGTATATCACATATTGTCCCACGTGGGTTGCATCATGGAGCTTGCAAGACGTAGTGCTTTATGTGCGACTTCTCGTCTCCATTCCTTTAGAGGCTCTCATAAGGGGTCTGCCTGGGCATTTTTTGGGGCTGTCTTAGGGCCTTCTCAGGACCCTATTGGGTCGTCTTGGGGCCCTCTTGGGCCGTCTTGGTGCCGTGTGGGGCCTTCTGGGTCCCTCTTGGGCATTTAGGAGGTCTCTCGGGGTTGTTGTCTTGCGAGCCTGTGGGCCCTCTTGTGCAGTCTGGGCCCCTCCTGGGGCAGTCTTGGGGCCCTCAGGGGGCTGTCCTGGGCCAACTGGGGTGATTATTGGAGCCCTGCTAGGGCTCTTTTGGCCTGCCTTTGTTAGAACCATCTTGGACCCAGAGCCCCGGGAAACGCAGCATGTTCAAACGCCTTGGAATGCCACCGTGTTTTGAATGGTCCTGGCGTTCCTGGATCGCCTCCTCGCCTTCTCTTTGGTGTCTTGGCAGCCTTTTCGGACACGGTCAGGTGCATTCAATTTTGATTGGCCCTCTGGTGGAATTCCGAATGCACCAGGGGGCGACGACGTCGGAGGAGATGGTGATGGTGATGGTGATGGTGATGGTGATGGTGATGATGATGATGATAATGATGATTCTGCTGATGATGATCATGATGATGATGATGATGGTGATGATGAGGATGATTCTGATGATGATGGGGATGATAAGGATGGGGATGACGGTGACGATGGGTGTAGCAGTCATAGTTGGTGGACGGTTGTCGGCGACAGCGATGACGGAGCGTTTTGGGCGATCCACCCCGTAAAATTCTAGGAAGCCGCGTGGGCCAGTGGGCGGGGTTGCACCCCCCTGGCAGGGGGGTGGGGTGAGGCTTCCCTATTCGTAACTTCGTAACATTACTTGATCCTGGGGGCAGCTTACGTCTTGGACTTCTTCGAAGAGGGAAACAGTTTCCAGTGTGGTTTCTGGCGATTTTCTCGGAGTCTCCGTGTGTTCCGCGCATTTCCTGCCACGTTTCTTCGCGAATCCAGCGTCGCAAGCGTGGTCTTGCTTTCAGAAGCCCGCAGGTTTATGCCCAGGTTCCTGGCGTTTTCTGTTGTCTTTTTCTGGATAAATATGCGGGTGTCCGCGGTCGCTCGAAGCGTCACGCAGCGCACGTCAATGACCAGTGCGATCCGGAGACCCTCCGCCACGAGCTGGCAACACGTGTCAATGCACTGCGGTTGTCCAGGGGTGGCCGCCTTCTTGTGTAATCCTTGAGCTTTGAACCGCACAGAACCTCGTGAGAAAAGTATAGTCGACGCCATCTGCGCCATGGCCACCATCCGCGACGCAGTTCTGATCATCATCGCCATTTTCGCGATCGCCATCGCCGCCCCTGCTTCCGCCCTAGTCGCCACCGAGGCGACCACTATGTTCATTCACCCGCAAGGGACACCAAGCAGAGATTGAGAGAACCGTTCTTCCCTGTCCGTTGGGGACCCCTGAGCGCCTCTTGAGGTATTCTTAGAGGCTGTTGGGTGCCTCCTGGGACAGTGTGGGGTCATCCTGGCGGCTTTCTTGGCCTTTTCAGGCTGTCTTGGAAGCCTTGCAGAGCCATGCAGGGCACTGGGGAGGCGTTGTGCCGCCCACGCAGCCTCGGGAGGGGGGATCGGCTCACGCTGGGAAGTGTGGCGAGAGGGTGAAGCGGTGGTGATGCGGGGGTGGCCCTGGAATATTCTCAGGAAGCCCCACCAGACAGCATTTGGCATTCCACCGCGCCTCAACGCACCAGGGGGCGCGGTGGCCGATTAATCAACGAATCTAGGAGTACGCAAGTCTATATTACCCTACTGCTCTACTACTCTGCTACTCTGCTACTCTGCTACTCTGCTACTCTACTATTATATTGCTCTACTGCTCTTACTACTCTACTACTCTGCCATTCTACTGCTTTACTCCATCCACGTTTCTGCATGCGCAACTTCCATGCGCCCCCCCCCCCTGCGCACTCCCCTTACGGGACTGGCGTGCGAGAGTCCCGCGGGACCGCCTTGGGGTCACAGACTCTTAGTCTCAGTTAGCGTTTTTTTTGGCAGACTGCTTATACTTCTTAAGCCAATTGGAGAATTTGGGGCTCTGGAAATGGGTGGATTGGGGATGGGGGACAGCCAACCATCTCTCATGCCCTGCACCCCCGCCAAGCGAGGATCAGCGATCTCAGAATTTCCGTCAGTACTGAATACAGCGCGCGCGCCGTGCACTACCCTTCGCAGTTTCTTGGGTATCCTCTGGCCATGGATGATATTTGACCGTCAGTGGTTGTCGGTGGGGCCTGGGATGGCATGAACACATGTGCTGTTTTAGTAAGCTGCTGAGCAAATGCGCAGTGACTCTGACAAGTGCAGCAATCGATTGCTCCTGAAGCGAAATGGTTCGGAGTGCGTAGGCACGCCGACAATTTGGTATCTGACCGCACTCGGCTGAGAAGTACGACATGCCACGGTGAACGGCCCGTGGGGCTATTCAATTTAGGGTCACTCTTTTTGCGGCTCTTCTTTTCCGTCTACTTCTTCATCCTCCAATTCTCCTCCTCGTCCTCATCCCGTTCTCCTTTCCCACTTCCATCCTGGCGACTTTCCAGCCCCGCTCTGCACCGTTCGCCTGCTCCTGCTCGCCTGTGAGGGACGTTGTGGCGGGAGCTTGCCCTTTCCCTCTCCCTCCTCGTGATCCTGCTGCTGCTGCTACTTTTTTTCTACCCGTCGGTGGTTCGAAGATGGGGTCCTGAGGGATGGGGACCTAGATAGGAAGGGATCCAAGAGTGGATGTCGTCCTCAGGACCCCATCCCTCAGGACCCTATCTCTGATCCACCGACCCTGCACTCGCTTCCCCAAAGAGGCCATCAACCTTGCCGGCTCCACCGTCGGCGTACTGGCCAAGGATGGGGGCCGCCAGGGGGCTATCGTCGCAGCCGCACGAGACCTGCCCGCTGCTCGTCGCGCGCGACTCGAGAGAGCCCCGGGTCGCGGAGGCCAGGATATACCCGAGAGAGAGAGGTCGGGGCCTCAGAGAGCTCGACACCGCCTCCCTGGTGCCGCCGGCAGCTCTGGGGGCTCGAGGGCCCAGAGTCTACAATGTGCACGGGTGGTGCCCGAAGATGCAGACGTTTCGCTCGCCTCGTTGGAAGCCGCTTGGTGCAGGCGTCACTGCCGCCTCGTGGACTGCAAAGGTCCAGCGAAGTGTGTGTGTGTGTGTGTGGTTATTCGCATTGGAGGAGAGGGGAGGGGAGGAGAGGGAAGCATTGTCCTCCTCCGACTCCTACGCCTCCGCTCACTATGCCTCCTCCTCCTCCTTCTCCTCCTCCTCCTCCTCCTCCTCCTCTTCTCCTCACTGCTCCTCTTTCTCCTACTCCCACTGCTCCTCCTGACGCCGACTCTGCTTCCGCTTAAATCTGAGCGGGATGCTGTTGCCCCCGCCCCCAGGGGCGCCCGCCCCTAGGCGGGTTCACCACGCCAGAGGTTCTGTGGCGTTCCCTGGCTCCCCGCTTCTGCCCCGGCCCCTGCCCTGGCCTCCCGAGGCGTTCCGCCGCGCGCTCACGGTCCACGAAGCTCCCAGAACACTCCGCGGGAGGAGGAGGGGACGGAGGAGGAGGAGGGTCGGGTCGGGTCGGGTGGAGGGCGGGCTCCTGAGCCCGCCTGAGCCGGCGCGCCGGCTGCCGCTCAGCGAGTCATCCGGACGGATGCCCGCTCTCTGAAACCTGCAGAGGGCCAGCGTGCCAACCAGGGGCACCACGGCTCAGCCCTACAGCCCGCGCGGGCCACAAGACAGAGCCCCCAGCTTTCCAAGCCGAGTCCAACCGTGGCGACGATGAGGCAGCCGACCGAAAAACACAAAACCAAAACGACGGGCCAGCGAGCCACCCAGGGGCACCACGGCTCTACCCCACAGCCCGCCCGGGCCGCAGGGTAGAGCCCCCAGCTTTCCAAGCCGAGTCCAACCGTGGCGACGCTGCGACCCGCGGCCGAAAAGCCCAAAAGCACCGTTCGACTGTATCACCGGCCTCTCTCTCAGATCAGCTGCATGAACAGGTGGGCACCCTGGAGCACGCCAGCCTCGACGGAGTCCCGGGACTCCGGGTCCAGCTGGCCGGTGAGGCGCTGCAGCTCGTCCAAGGCCTTCTCGACCTCCTTCGTGCACGAGTCCATCGAGTTGCCCACGACCTGAAAGAACCGGTTCTTCAGCGCACCCGGACCCGCCTCGGCCTCGGGCTCGACTCCCGCCGCGCACGGCGCAGCGGCGCCAGCGGCGCTCGAGGCCCCCTCGGGCGGGCCCTCCGGGGCCGCGAACGGCTTCCATTGCCGCCTCCTCTGCCTCTTCGTCTGGCGCGTCTTCCCCGTCCCCTCGCTGGGGCCAGGCTGCGCCTCGAGGTCGCTCCTCAGGTCCCCCTCTGGGCCCCGGCTGGCTTCCTCGTCTCCGTCCTTGAGGTCACTTCGCAGGTCCCTCACGGGGCCCCGGCCAGCTTCCTCGCCTCCATGCTCGTGAGCCCATGGTGCGGGCTCCTCGCGGGGTGCACCTCGAGGGGCTTCATCTCCTCCGGGTCCGCGAGTGCTCTGTATTGGGCCTCCCTCGTCCCCAGAGTCTGGTGCCTCATCTCCTGGCTCACTCCGTTCATCTCGGTGCGCTTCATGCCTGAAGACCCCGGCCTGCGCCGCAACGACTTTGGCGAAGCTCGGCCGCGCCTCCAGACTCCCGGCCTCCGCCGCACAGCATGCAGGGCAGGATTGTGTACGGCACCAGCGTTTCGTGCTCACGTACTCCTCCTCACACTCCCCCATGCTGCAGGAATCCTCGCGCATCTCCTCCGTCTCCTCGAACTCGCCGGCTTCGAGGTGGAAGACCTCCGCGTGACCAAAATGGTCCCGGTCGCACCCTTGCAGGGCGCACTCCTCGTAGGCGAACTCCTCGAAAGCGTACTCCAAGTCAAAGGCGGTCTCACGCCCTATGACTTCGCCTGCCTCCAGGGCGCATCCTGCCACGGCGGATCCGCTCTCACTCCCTTCTTCTTGGAGTCGCCCCACTCGTGCTGCTTCTGCCTCTTGCGGTCCTCGTTCTTCTCCTCCTTCTGCGAGCCACCCGCCCAGTTCGCCCACGCCTTGTGGGCGTCCCTCTTCTTCTTGCTGGGCTTCTGGGTGTGCCGGTGCCTCGCCGGTTCCTCCACTGAGGGACGGCCTTGCGGCGGCCTCGCGGACGAGGTGCTTGACCCTGCCCCGCCAGAAGACCACCGCTTCGCACCGTCCCGTCGGGCCTCCGGAGCTTCCTTTAGCTCCACCGCCCGCCGGGGTGGCCCCGCAGGCTGAATCCCCTCGTCCGTCATGCTCCCCTCGTCCTCGTCGCTGCCCTCCGTGTACGAGTACTCCGAGGTTGTCCTGGACCAGTTGGGAAGGGTCGGGCTCTGGTCCCGCGACTCCTCTGGCAGGTGGTCCTTCGGCCCCGGCCCATCTCGGGGCCTCCGCGGGGGAGGCGCAGCCCCCTCCTCGGAGCGCCCTTCCGGCGGCAGGGCTGGCGCCGGCGCCGCTCGCGGGGACGTGACCTCCGCTTGGCGCCGTGCCTGCTGGGCACGAAGCTCCTCCCGCGCCATGGACATCACGTCGTCCAGGAGCTTCTTCATGCCCGCGCGCATCCCTTCCTGGGCGGCCGCCTTGACCGCCTGCAGAATGCGCTCGTCCTCGCTGGTGTCGCGGCCTGCCTCCGCCCTCCGCCTCTCGGAGGCGGGGCCCTCTGTTGGCCCATGAGGGCGAGGCTCGTCTCCGCGACCGGGGCATGCCATCTACGGCCCGTGCAGGTGAGCCGCTCCGAATACACGCCTGCACAACCTGGGGCTGTGTCTGGAAGAGGGGCCTCGCCGCGCGCGCGCCCGCTCGCTTGAGCCCCAGCCGAAACGGCTACGGAGGAGGAGGAGGAGGAGGAGGAGGAGCTTCGACTCAGCGTGCCGCGCCGTGTCTGGCCCATCGCGCTTCGGCGGGACAGGCCGTCCACGTCCCAGCCCCCAGGCGCCGGCGTGCCGAGCCGTTCCGAGCCTCCCGCCCCGCGGGGCGGAGCGGCACCCTGTCCGCTTGCACGGCACGGAGGTTTCCTTGGGGCCTCCGCCAGGGACACGCTGTGCAGCAGTTCCTGACCGTGCGTCGCGTCGGTCTGAGGCTCTGCCGCAGTGGAGCTGACGTTTGGACGAAAAAACGAGTCCCACCTTGCCGGTTCTCGACGCATCGCGTGTCTCCTCCAGCCCATGCAGAAACGATCTCCAGGCGAGATGCGCCGACCAGGGACGTGTAGGAGCACGCAGTGGAGCCGAGCTGTGGGGCAGCCTCCAAGCCGAAGCTCAGGATCGGCCTGAGCACGTCCAGGAATGGAGCTGCTGAGCATGCCGTCGAAGGAGGAGGAGGAGGAGGAGGAGGAGGAGAAGCCATAGTGGAAGTTGTGGAGGAGGCGATGGAGGCGGAAGTGGAGGATGGGGGAGGCCCGCGGGGCTCGCGTATGGTACAGCAGCATCGGCGTATGGTGCAGGCGCCTCTGCGTACAGAGGGGGCCCATGCCAAGAAACACCCTGCTTGCTTCCAGTGTGCCCGGGGTTTCTTGGGTTTTGATGGTTTTGCGATGGAAAGCGTGACGTTCCAATACCAAACATCAAGGGACGCCCTGGGGTCTCAGGGTTGGGTTTCTTGCGGAAGGCTTCTTGTGGACTGGCCTCCACTGTATATTGCCCTCTTCGGGGCTTTGCGAGCCCTCCTTGGACGTTTTTTATTCATTGTTTTGCCGATCGGCGCGGGCCCCCCAGCCCCCCCTCTCCTCCCCCATGGAGTAGATCTTGGCTGTTTTTCGGCGCCTGTTTCGAGCGGGTGGAGTCTCCCCCAGAGGCAGCACTCTTGCAAACAGTTGCACTGAGCAGAGGTCTGGAGCCAGATCCCCCCCTTCCCCCCCCCTTTCCGCCCAATGTCGAAACGCCGAATAAGAACACGCTCACCTTGGGGCGGCTCCGATGAGCGCTGCCCCTCCGGATCACAACAGGTCGCCTCCTGGAGCTCCTTTTAGCCGCTCTTGGGCCGCTCTTGGGCGCTCGTGGAGCCGTCTTGAAGTCTTCACGGGGCCCATATCCAGGGGCTCTCTTGGTGCCGTCTTGAGACTGCAGGTGCCCGTCGAAAGCGAAAGGACGACTCGTCAGTCAGTCGGTGAAGCCGTGCATCCAGTAGGACGCGTGGGCACAACGAAGCAGACACGCCAAATGCGCGCCAAATCGGGCGACAGACACGCCAACCGCGTGGTTACGCGGCTGCGACGCGCCACACGTGCGCCGGGAGGACGATGACATGAGGAGGGAGATGACGATGATGATGATGATGCTGCTGCTGCTGATGATGATGATGATGATGATGATGGTGGTGGTGGTGGTGATGATGATGATGATGGTGGTGGTGATGATGATGATGATGATTGTGATGATGATGCTGATGATGATGGTGATGATGATGATGTTGATGATGATGATGATGATGATGATGACGATGCTGCTGCTGCTGCTGCTGCTGATGATGATGATGATGATGATGATGTTGACACGACACGTATATCAGATCAACCGGTGTACTTTGCCTGGGTTTGACATCTCGGGGGTATCCTTGAGAGGCCGCTTGGCAACTTGGGGCCGTTCTGGAGCCGTCTTGGGTCCTCTCGGAGGCATGTTGGGAGTCATACTGAGCAGCCTTGGTTTGTTTTGAGCCATCTTGGAGGCCACCTCGGGCTAGTGGTCGTTTTTTTCATTGTTTTGCCGGTCGGCGCTGGCTCTCGTCCCCTCTCCTCCCCCCTTCCCCTTGGAGTCGGTCTTGGCTGTTTCTTGGCGCCTGTTTCGAGTGGAGTCTCCGCCAGAGGCAGCACTCTTGCAAACAGTTGCATTAACCCTGGGAAGCAATCAGTAAACCCCCCTCCCCCCCCCCCCCCCCTTCATCAGAGGAAATTATAACGCTTCCGGCACCGGGGCCGGGGCGGAAGCGATATCCCCCGCAGGTCACCAGAGGTCCGCGGAGGGGAGGTCCCCGGAGGTTCCCAGGAGGCATCCAGAAAGGCCTCCACAAGCCTCTGAATGCCCGGTCCCCTTGTAGTCCAGAGCCCAGCGACAAGGCACACCTGCCCAGAGTCGCTTCCTGTGATTCTGTGCGTTTCTGTGAGATTCCTCAGAGATTCCTTTGATACTCCGATTGGCTTCTTTTGAGATTCCTTGCCGTTTCCATTGTGATTATTTTGGGGCTCCTTTGAGACTCCTCTGGTGTTCCTTTGATGTTATTCTGAGGGTCCCTTGAGGCTCCGGTCATATCCCTTTGATGCCCCATCCGGGGCCGGTGGATTATTTTATTTTTAATAAATGTGCTAATATATCGCGGGGGGGTTCGCGGAATGCGTCTGCGAAATCTCTCCGTGGACTCTCCCATAGGATCCCCTGGAAGATTCAGTATGTGATTATTTTGGGACTCCTGTGAGACTCCTCTGGTGTTCCTTTGATGTTATTCTGAGGGTCCCTTGAGGCTCCGGTCATATCCCTTTGAAGCCCCATTGCTCAAGAGAGCATCACATCGACATCCGGGGCCGGTGGATTATTTTATTTGTAATAAATGTGCTAACATATCGCGGGGGGGTTCGCGGAATGCGTCTGCGAAATCTCTCCGTGGACTCTCCCATAGGATCCCCTGAAAGAATCAATTTCCCTAGTGCGGTCGCAATAGGGATTGCTTATGTCCACGCGAGCCCGCGTTTTCCAAATTCCTTAGATTCCTTTGTGGTTCGTTTGAGCTGCCGCTGAGATGCCTTTGACATTTCTGTTGGGCTCCTTTGAGATTGCTTTGAACTTCCATTGGTTCCTTCGATATCATGCGTGAGATTCCTTGTGATATTCTTATGGGATTCCTTTGGGGGTTCTTTCAAGTTCCTCTGATATTCCTTCGACAATCCCTGAAGGGAGCATCACATCGACCTCCGGTGCCTGTGGATTATTTTATTTTCAATAAATGTGCTAACATATCGCGGGGGGGGTTCGCGGAATCCGTCTGCGATATCCCTCCGTGGACTCTCCCATAGGACCCCGTGAAAAAAACAATTTCCCTATTGCGGCCGCAATAGGGTTTGCTTATGTCCACGCGAGCCCGCGTTTTCCAGATTCCTTAGATTCCTTCGTGGTTCGTTTGAGCTGCCGCTGAGATCCCTTTGCGATTTCTGTGGGGTTCCTTTGAGATTACTTTGAATTTCCAATAGGGATCCTTTGAGATTCTGCGTGGGCTTCCTTCTGAGATTCCTCTGGGATTCCTTTGGGGGGTCCTTTCAAGTATAGTTGCTTGCGGTGATTTCATTGTTTGTGATGTTTGATTTACCTTTGATTTCCGATGCGCGTCAGTTTCCCAGTGTTCTAGCAAGGCGGGAATGCATTGGCAAGCGTTCGTGCGCGTTGGTTCTTCAGGCTGTCGCCTCGCGTTGCCGCCAGCTTCGGGCCCGGGGGGGCAAATTAATTAATTAATTATTTTATGTATTTTTCATGTGCTAACGATATCGCCGGAGGGCGCCGCCCAAAATAATTATTTATTTTATTTTCTGTGCTAGCGATATCGCCGGGGGGTTTACTGTTTGCTTGCCAGGGTTAAGCAGAGGTCTGGAGCCATACCCCCCCTTCCCCCTCCCTTCCGCCCAATGTCGAAACGCGGATAATAAAAACGCTCACTTACGAACCGATGCAATCTTGGTGCCATCATGGGCTGTTTAGGACGTTACAGCGCCTCGCGTGGGAGGGGTGCTGTCCAGAGCGGTCAAGGGGGAGGGCTCACCCCTTACCCGTATGGGAAGAATCGGAGTGTAACAATAAGACGTAGCACCACGCAGATGCGGATAAGAGTGAGGGGGCGGTGGGGACATCGGCAGTTTGCGAGACTCTGGAGAAGCCCGCCGCAGGCGCCAAAGTTCCACAAATTATACAACGAGCCCGCCGCAGGCGCTGATTTTTTCGTTGTCGCGGGGTGGGTCGCGGGTGGGTCGCGGGGTGGGTCGCGGGTTGGGTCGCGGGGTGGGTCGCGGGGTGGGTCGCGGGGTGGGTCGCGGGGTAGATCGCGGGGTGGGTCGCGGGTGGGACGACGACAACAAATCAACAAACAAACAAACGAACAAACAAACAAACAAACAACCAAACAAATAACAACAACGCAACAATCATACTCTTCATCACGGATCCGCGCTTCAACCACGCACCCAGGGACAATGAATGACCGTTCGGCCCCCTCACTCTGACGACTAATCATGAGAATAAGCGCATCAAACCACCCACGCTCATAGGGCTAGTGGGAATATTGTGAGACGTAGTTGCCAGGCCAGCCGAGGTCTTATAAAGTATTGGCAGGCAGACTGGCCGAACATTTTGACCTGGGCGCCAGGACTGCTTGGCTTTCAAGCCGTTGCGTTCCAGGCGATTGTAGAACAGCCTGCCATCCATAAGCAATACGAAGCAATTGGTCCTGCTATAAGTACCGTGGGGCAAGCAAGGAAGCAGGGTACGACAACTCTGGTAAGCTATCGGTGGCATGAGTACTGTCCTGACACAACCAGCCTCTGGCTGAAAAACAGGCTGGAGGCGGGATGGAACGCCACCCGTTGATCTCGCGCTCGAGATTGCGTGTTCTATTGTTCATGTCCCGTGCCAACATTTATCCAATTTGGATCGGCTTCAGGTTCAGTGTTTGCCCGTGTTTGGATTTCGAGTTGGCGTGGTAGCACGTTTGGTGCTGACCGCTAGGCGTCCTACAGAAGACCATGCGGGAGGCCATAGAACGGAACCACAAGGGAGACCATACAAACAGGAGACCCACCATGCGGGAGGTCAGAGGGGATCTGGCGAGGGACACCATGCGGGGTACCCGATGGGAGACCGTATTGGTGACCATGCGGGAGACCATTCGGGAGACCGTGCGGGAGACCATGCGGGAGACCATTCGGTAGACTACACGGGAGACCATACGGGAGACTATGCGGCAGACCATCTTGGAGACCAGATTGGGGACCATACGGGAGATGGTACGGGGATGCCATACTTGAGGCCATGCGGGAGACCATACGGGAGGCCATACGGGAGACCATACGGGAGGCCATACGGGAGACCATACGGGAGAGCATCCCGGAGACCGTACGGGTGACCACCAGCCACCGATTCCGGATTCGGAGAGGCTCACACTTAGCCTCATAATCGCTAGCAGCATTCCAGGAGACTTGCAGCACGCAGCCCGGAGAGCTCGGAGGGACTTGAGGACACTCCGCCCAGTGCCAATCGATTCAGCGGCAGTTTCAGTAACGATTCAGCGAGACACCACGGCAGACTACGGCAACAAGAGCAACACCACGGGAGACCGCGCGATTCCCAACACGGGATACCCAGCGGACCCTCCAGGAGGAGGAGGAGGAGGAGGAGGAGGAGGAGGAGGAGGAGGAGGAGGAGCAAGAGGAGCAGGAGCAGGAGGTTGAGGAGGAGGCGCAAGAGCAGGAGCAGGAGCACGCGGACATCGGGGCCGCCAGCCTTCCAGATCTGATCTCTCGGCGCGTGCGGCTTCGTACGGGCGCCACGCAGGATACGAATCATGACACACATTTTCCCAGGTGAGCGTTTTTTATTCATTCTTTTGCCGATCGGCGCGGGCCCTCGCAACCCCCCTCCACCCATGGAGTAGATCTTGGCTGTTTCCGGCGCCCGTTTCGACCCCAGAGGACGCACGGCTCAGAACAGTCGCACTAAGCAGAGGTCTGAAGCCTTTCCGCCCAACGTCGAAACACCGAATCAAAAAAAGCTCACCAGAGGGGGGTGGCTTCATAAACGCATTTCGTTCTCCCAGCCTCCCATACTCGGCCACGCGCAGAGGGGGGGTAGGGGGAGGGGGGAAGGCTTCTTAGAGGCACCCCTGCTTCTTAGGGCGGCGCCTGTAAGAAGCGGTCTCCTTTTAAGAAGCCTTCCCCCCTCCCCCTACCCCCCTCTGCGCGCCGCCAAAGGACTGTTTTCTTTCCCCCGTGACTTGCATCTTTCTCGATCGTCAACCCCGAGGGAGTCTGGATCGAGAGACACCGAGGGCTAGACACACACACACACACAGCTGGGCCATCAAGGACAACAGCGGCCTTCCTGACCCTGCGCTGCTGCCCCCCCCTCACGCGTGCCGCGGTTATCCTCGTCCTCCCGTTGTCCGGGGCTGTTGCATGTGTTGTCGCTCTCGCTGCCTTGTGGCCGGCCCCGTTCGCGCCTGTGCGTCCGGGGTGGCCCCCTTGATGGGCAGCGGGTTCCTCCTTCTCCGCTGCTTGGTTGCTGGATTCTTGGATTCCCAGATTTCAATCTACCTGAAGCGCCTTCCTACATCAAGAATCGATCTGCTTTTGCTGCGTTCTGTTCTACTCTGGGGGAGGGCTTGTGCCCAATCCACTCTTTCCGCATTCCTACCTTATGTTTTTACCTACTCCTTCAGACCGACGTGTACTTATCCTCGTCCTCCCGCTTCCAGCAGTGGCAGCACGGTGCCTGCGCGCGCTCGATGAGGACGGCACAGCGCGCCTCGAATCTGTCGTCCCCGAGATCTGCCAGGGTGACGGGCGGGGGCGCTTCCGTCCATAGGCACTCCCCTCCCGCCCCTGATGAGCAGCGGCGAGCAGATGCAGCGGGGGGGCCAGGGCGGTGTGCTCGGTAAACCGCAGGACCGACGAGTGACACAGTTCGGCTGGTTTTGGGAGAGGGGAGAGGAGGAGCCCATGGAGTCCATCAAAGGGCCTCTCCCCGCGGGGCACAGGCCGTCCGAGAAGGCCGTCTCCGGAATAGGCAGACTTCTCGTCTCCAGCGATTCGCCGCCCAGTCGAGATGGCTTGGTTCACCAGGGGGGGGGGTCGGGCACCATTCCGACCCACACTCTGCCAAATCGGTTGGCATGCGCAAGTGGGTTGGTTCCCCAGGGTGAGCGGGCGCAAGGCCCCACGTGGCTTGCGGACCACCTGGCCCCACCTCCCATCCGAATCCGCAGTTCCTGCGCCTGGCAGCCAGCGCGAAGCAGTAGCATCGTCACGGGCGCAGGCGAACGCCACATGCGGCGAGCAAGCTGTCGCGCCGCCAGTGCCGGACCACTCCGGCCAGCTTGCATGCTCCCTGCAGGCTCACATCATGGCACTGTTACTGTCCCGGCGGCGCAGAGTGGAATACCAGGATGCGGCAACCAGCAGAGCAGTTATTGGCCCCCCGCCGCGGAGAGGGAAGAGGATCAGGAGGAGGAGGAGGAGGAGGAGGAGAACATGGACAAGGATGGCGATGAGGAGGGGCACGACCCCGACGAGCGTCCAGCGACGACCTCGTCAGTCCTGCCTGCGGTAGTACGGGCAGACCGTCGGTCATTTACGTGTCGGTTATCGAGAGCCCCGCCTTGTTTGCCAGGGTTGTATGGGGGGGAGGACTGGTGGTACGCGCTGGAAGGAGAGGAGAGGAGGAGGGAAGGAAACGAGGGGGAAGAGGAGAGACTTGAGGAGTGGTGGATCGAGAGAGGGAGGGCGGCGAGACGGGGGGGGGCGGGCATGGCCTCTCCAGGATGGCGTGGTGCTTGCTGGGGAGAAGAAGACCATCTCCAAGCTGTTGGACCAGGCCGGCGTCCGGCGCCCTCGCTCCCCCCGGCCTCCGAAAGTCGGAGGGCTGGACGAGGAGGAGGAGGAGGAGGAGGAGGAGGGGGAGGGGGAGGAGGGGGAGGAGGGGAAGCGGCGCTGCCGTGCCGCCGGAGCATTTGCTCCTGCCATGTCGCTCTCTGACTGTGGCCCTGTCGTCGCCACGCCTGAGCTTCAGCCGGGCATGTCCCTCTGCAGGAGGAGTGCTCATTGTTCATTTCTAATTATTCGAGAGTTCTTTGAATTTTTTGGGGGTCAAGATCGTTTCATTTCTAATTGTTTTATCCTGGGCCTGTTCCTGGCCACTAGGGGGCCAGGAACAATTAGAAACGAGCACAATTTGAGATGACCAGGATTAGAAATGAGCGACGTGTATTCCAAAATGGTGAAACAATAATCGGGGGACGATTGCTCGAGCATGTTCTGACCATTTTGGAGTAATTTTTGGTGTTTTTTATTTTTCGTCTATAATCCGCCTGTAGGGGGACATGCCCGACCTAAGCTTAAGCTGGGGCTCGAAGAGGGCTGGCCAGGGCAGCGTCCTGGATCGAGGCCTGTGCGGCTCCGCGCCAGGAGAGAGCGGAGCAGCCGTCTGCTGACCCGGGCGTTGCGAATGCTCCGAAGAGTCGAGGCGACCTTGTTGTGGCGGCCGCGCTCTTCTTGCGCCCAGGATGAATTCAGCTTAGCAAAGCCCAAGTGGCGAAGAGACACGCGCGAGCTGACAAAATAAGGGAGGGAGGGGGGAGGAATAGTAACGAGGTGACGCTGTCTTGCTGATGTGGCGAGCAAGGCGCCGGCATCGTTTGGGTGTACACAAGGGAGGTGTAATGAAATCCTATCTGAATCACACATTGGATGTAATTACCGGCAGCGCCGTGACCACGTGCACGGACAAGAAACCGCGTCGTTTGGTCGTTTGGATAACTTCATGAAAGCAGTGGTGAGAACCCCGTACTCTTCGTTCGAGTTCGACTTGGCAAAACATTGTTACAAGAGGCTCCAACCCGATGTGAGACGGTTCAACGATATACTGACTCGTCACGGGCAGCAGCCTTTCGGTGGCCTCGCACAGCAATTAGCAAGCGCTTTTGAAAGCAAGAGGAAATGGGTCAACTCCGCAGTGAAACTCGAGGTGGCGAACAGATTCGGCGCGAGCCGATGCGTGGGTGGAAGGCCTGACGGGGCAACGCAGATGGCCGATGATGAGGAGATCCACCATCTCTGGGAAAGGGCATACAACGTTGATGCGGTGAAGCGGCCAGCGATCGGACGGCAATCAGATCCTGAGATGCAAATGTTGCGATCATATCTGCGCGTATTGCAGTCTGAGGGCTGTGCTGACGACCGGACCCCAGGGGCTACTTCACTGAGGGTCGCTTATGTGAAGAAGCACGGCTGGCATTTCCCAGTGGGGACGTCCATGCAGTATCTCATGCAAAGATGCGCAGCCGCTTTTTGCAAGGGAGAGGGCATGGACGTAGACATGGTCTGCACCTGTCCGAAGATCTTAGTGATACTCATCCGATCAATACCTGGTCTTGTAATTCGAGTGCCCGATTCGGGTAAACGAAGCCCTGACGTGGTGCTATACATACTGCAGAAGCCTAGGGGCACCCGATGGCGCCAGCGCCTGTGGGCGAGCCGCTGGCTGGTATAGTCAGACCGCGTAGTAAGGATGGGCAACCTTCCTAAGGGTATCCTTGCATCCTTGCCTCCTCGGTCCATCCTTGGCCACTTTCGTTGGCCGCGCCCCGCTCGCAAAGCTTCGAAATGGGCTTCCAAGGCCCTTGCATCCTTATCGTGCATCCTTACTATACTTGCTGACTGTGCTTTTGGTGCAACTGCCATGACTGCATGAGCGAGGAGTCCATGCGGCAGCCAGGACCCGGCGCTCGGTGCTTGGAGGCTCTTGGGCGCACGGCCGCTCCACCCGCGAGCTGCCACCTCGCGGCATCGGGCAGAACATGCTAGGCAGGCGGGGGGGTGGATGAGGTTCCTCCCTGGGCGTCGTCGCCCGTCGTCGTTGTCCGTCCTCGTCGTCGTCGTCGTCGTCGTCGTCGTCGTCGTCGTCGTCTCAGTCGCCGTCGTCGTCGTCGAGATGGCGTCGTCGTCGTCATCCTCACCCGCGGGGTGAGCCGTGGGGCGGATCGCGGGTGAGTCGCGGGGGCGGGTCGCCGTGGGACGACAACGAGGCAGCACAGAGAACAGCAGCGAGCCGCGTTGGAGATCCCCCACGTCGGCCACGCCCTCGGGGGGCTCAAGATGTTGAGTAGTATTTCAATCCTCTTGTCTTTCTTCCTCTTGGTCTTGTGCCCTCCCCTCTCCTGCTGTTGCCTCTATGCCTGCATGCTCGTATGCATCCGTTGCCGTCTAGGGCCCTTGGGTCAGTGGCACGCTGCGTACAGAAACATGCCATCATTGCACATCATATTGCATAGCAGTGTTTCCACACAAGAGACGGGGGTCGATGCAAACGGGTTTCAGTCAGATTGCCGGATCTTGCAGGATCCTGCAGAGCAAGGATCGCCCTGACCCGGGTTTGGGCGCAGGGTCCTGCAGGATTCTGGAGGGTCCTGCAGGATCCTGCAATGCCCGACTGGACTGGGTTTGGATTGACCTGGGTCAGTAAATCTACGACACACCCTCGGGGGGCCGTGTCAGACTGTTCGGTCCACGCACTTTGGGAAGCGTCGTTGCGGCAGGCAGGGTGCATGGTGGCGTGGCGCAGGTTTGGGTCGCAGGTTTGTCAATTCCGCAACGCAGTACCATGCTGGGCCTTTGTTGGTGGTTGATGGTTGGGGCCTTGAGGGATGGGGCCCTAAGGACGAGGTGCCTCAAACAGTGTGCGTAGATTCACCTCTTGGATCCCGTCCTATCCTTTGATCCCCATCCCGCAGGGGCCCATTTTTTTGAACTGCCGAATCTGTGTAAACAGCCAAAACGTTTGCAGTGAGAGCAATTGGCGACTTTGGGCGAACCTATTCTAAGCCGATTGCGATGTGTGTTGGATCGGACGTGGCTGGTGCCTTGAGGCCGCAACATGTGGCCTCCAGACGCCCACAGCGAGGAGGAGGACGGCAGGGCTCCCGTCGACTCCTCCGACCCGATTGGGTTCGATTTCTATCGGTTCCGATTCCGATTCGATTCGACCCCGTATTCCGATTTGGATTTCGGTTTCCAGATTTCGATTTGGACTTCGGTTTCTCAATGGAGGCCTCTCTAGCCCGCCGATTTCCGCCGATTTCTCCCGATTTGGCTGCCGACTCCCGCCGATCCGACTCATGTCGATCGCCGATCCGACTTCTCGATTCGGGGCTCCTCCTGTCCGGAGCGAAAAAGGAGGATGCGCAGCGGGCGGCTCGATGATCGTGGGCCTTCTGGTGCCATTGGCGCGCTCCAGACAGGTACTCGCCTCAAGTCGGGCCTGTCCCTCCACAGGAGGAGTAATCAAACATAGTGAAAAAGTAGTCAGGGGACGATCTTTTTTGTTTGTTTTGGTTTTTTGTTGTTTGGCCATTTTGGTGTATTTTTTGCATTTTTCATTTTTCATCGAAAGTACCCCTGCAGGAGGACAGGCCCGACTTAATCCTCGCCTTCTAGGATCGAAGGAGTTGCCATCTCTCCATCGGTGGAAGGCGGCGGAAGGCTGGCGGACGCTGACGGAAGTAAGACGAGGCCGCATTCGCCGGAGGAAGCCGGCGGAAGGCCAGCGGAAGCCAGAGGAAGGAACGCTCGGCCTACCAAGAGATGGCAGGGCCTCCTGTTTCCGGGGACCTGGAACCCGCCATCTCGGCCCCGCTCAGGCCAAGCAGCACGAGAAGATCTTCCAGATCGACTCGCACATGTTCTGTGCCGTGGTGCCCGCCGGCTCCCCTCTCGACCCGCCCTCGCGCTGCTCTCCGGCGCCAGTGCCGTCTGCCGAGAGAGTCTGGGCTCGTTGCTCGTCGCAAGAGCTCTTCCTTTGCACTTCCCAGGCACGACTCGGGATTCCAGGCAGGGCGCTGCAGAAAGAGGCACGCCTTCCGTCGCAGAAGAACAGGAACGCTTGGAGCTTCGCGCGGATTTCTGGGATCGGCTCTGAGCCCCCCTGGCGGCGCCTCTGGCGCCACCCCTGGCGCGCTCCGCGCGCCAGGGAGGGAGGTTCAGCGCAGATCCAAGAAACGCGCGCGGAGCTTCGAAGGTTTCTGCTAATGCAGGTCAATCTTGCTACACGGTCGGACCGAGGTATGAAATCGAGGTCGGTTCGGGGAGGGCACCCTATTGCTCTTCGTGCTTGTTTTGGATGGTCTTGTGCATCCTGGGGGAGGGCACCCTCGAATGTTCTTCTGTCCCAGGTCCGACCGTATCCATTCAAGCGATCGCAAACATGGATCAAGGGGGCGTGGATTAGCGACGGGTCCCGTTTCCATGGGAAATCGCGTATTCCTGCCGCCGAGCGAGGCGGCACCGGCCGCATTTTGGGGAGGGCACCTCCCCTGATCCATGGATTTGGCGAACGTGCGCCAAATCCATGGATCGCTGATCCATGTTTGCGCGTCCCCGACCTCCTCCTCGTTGTCCTCCTCCTCCTCCTCCTCCTCCTCCTCCTCCTCCTATACCCCGCCCTCGTTGTCCTCCTCCTCCTCCTCCTCCTCCTCCTCCTCCTCCTCCTCCACCTCCTCTACCCCGCTGCCGTGTTGACTGGCGCAACTGCAACTAGGCGTCGCTGCTTCTTCGCCGTCCTGCTCGTTTCACGTGTGGCTGGCGCCCCGGTGCCAGCTTGCTGCCCCTCTTCTCGCCGGTGGATGGGCCTCCCACCCCAGCACGTCGACTAGCGAACGGGCCGTGTTCGGTTCGCGAGAGGTCGTCGCGCGGCCGTCCTTTTGCGGGTCCAGGTCCGTCGGTTTCGGTCCTAGGCCGTTTTCACTGAAGGGTGGTTTACTAAAGGGAGTTTTGTGGACGGAGCAGGTGCTTCCGCAGGCCAGGAAGACCTCCCGCAGGTCGGGAACGTCCACCCTGCAGGCGGGGAGCTTCCCACGGGATGGAGAGGCGCTTGGCTGGTGTTCCTCGTCGCTGCGTTGCCGCCGCTCCTCGTCGCCCGCCCTCCCCCCCCAGAAGATGCCAACATTTTTTCGGGCTGAGGGCTTCTGGAGCAGGCTCAGTGTACTCTTGGTTTTGACCGGGGTGCTGCTCCCAGTCGTCTTTACGATCTTTGGGGATCTCTTCGGTGCTCAGGAGGCGCCGCTCCACATTTGAGGGTCCTCGGCGGAGCCATCACTCTCACGCGCAACTTCCCCGTCCCCCACTCGGTAGAGACAGAGCACGGGGTCTCTCGCTGGTGGAGGTTTTTTTCCGAAGGACTTCAGCGAACCGTCCTCCTCCGGCTCCTCCGCATCCTCCTTCTCCGCCTCTTCCGCCTCCTCCTCCTCCTCCTCCTCCTCCTCCTCCTCCCTCCTCCTCCTCCTCCTCCTCCTCCTCCTCCTCCTCCTCCTCCTCCTCCTCCTCCTCCTCCTCCTGCTCCTCCCTCCTTCTCCTCCTCCTCCTCCTCCTCCTCCTTCTCCTCCTCCTCCTCCTCCTCCTCCTCTCCTCCTCCTCCTCCTCCTCCTCCTTCCTCTTCCTCCTCCTCCTCCTCCTCCTCCTCCTCCTCCTCCTCCTCCTCTTGGGGTCGCCTACGGCCCCGGGGGAAACCGTGCACTCGCTGGGCCTCGGGCTGCGAGCCTTCACTGCGGCGTGCCGCACCTCGTGGTGCATGCGGGAATCGGGGCAGAGCTTGGCATAGGATGCAACACAGAAACAGCGACATGGCCAGGGATCTCATCGCGTGTACACAAGGCACGAAGGCTCGATGTGCAGACGATGGCGGCTACGGTCGGGAAAGGTGGCGTGTGCGTTCCGAATCCATGGGCCGATACCTGGGGAACCTCGCCGAGACCGGCCGGAACCGATGAGGCATGTACGCGTTGCCACCGCCGCATGCAGGCAGCCTGCTCGTCCTCGTCCTCTTCGTCCTCGTCCTCGTCCTCCTATCCCTCCCCTTCTCCTCTCGTCCACGGAGAGGCTATCAACGCTCGACGCCACATAGTTCTTGCGGGTGACTTCGACGCACAGGTTGGGGCATCCGAGATACCAGAAGCCTGGGACAGCGACGACGATCACGACGACGACCAGGCTCCCTGCCTGCTGTCTCCGCCTGGCCCGTCTTCTGCCTGCCCGCCCGCCCCGCCGGCCCTGGCCTCCCGCCTAGGCGTTCGTCGTCGTCTGCCTGCTTCTCCCCTCCTCGTCCCCTTCCGCCGGACAGCACAGCCTGCCCGGAACCAGCGTGGCGGCATATAGGGGCCTGACAAGCTGTGTACCCTGCACAGCTGTGCGTGTAGGTGGCGGCGCTGGACGGGCGGCCGCCGGCCAGACGGGCAGCGACCTTCTGCACGAGGACAGCGCTGGCTCGAAGCACGGCCGTAGTCGTGCGTCGGCCGCTCGCGGAGTCGCCAGGCGCACCATAGTCGCGCGAGTCATGCCGGTGGCCGCCATGGGTATGGGATCACAAAGACGAGAGGCACCTGGTTGCGACGTTGGGATACCCAGGAGAGTCTTGTTACGCAAACGCGTTTTTCAGCAAGCCAGCGCACAAACAGATCACCTAGACCAGCGGCGGCAAGCAGACGCAACTCGACTGTTTTCTGCTGGGCCGCAGGCTTTTCCGACATTCAAGTGACGCCGAGGCCAACAAGGCGACCGATCCGTGATCCGACCCCAAGGCTGTAACCATCGACTTGCATAACCAGAGCCCATGGCAACCAGACGACGACTGCGCCGCCCCTCGCCGCCTCGGACGCCGACCGGAAACGTCATGAGCACAAACGTCAACCACGAGCACCCGCGTCCCCGACAGCATCCAAAGGATTTCCGGATATAGCCAGGACCCCAGGTAAGGGGACCCAGTCAGTGGAAGGGCCCCAGAGCCCCTAAATTGGCCAGAATCACTAAACCAGGTCTGCCGTAGCTGTTTTTTTTGTCGGGTGACGGCAGTTCCGTCTAGTGGAACGGGACGTGGGGGGCGTCCCCCAGTACACATCACTAAACCAGGTCCCACAAAAGCCAGTTCTGCCAACGCCCGAGAATTGCCGTCTGACCCACAATCTCTGATCGAACGCATGGAAAATGTTCTCATCGACGCCGCTGGCGCCAGCAGTGCCAGCGAGCCACAAGCAGACCGACGATCTGCCAAAAGAGCGAAGCGACGACCTTCGTTGCTAGCACACCGACGCCAGACTCCCAGTGACGACCACCAGACCCGCAAGCAAGTGAGCAAACTCCTACAGCAAGAGATCCGCGCATAAAAACAGAGGACGCGACGAGCCCACACAACACACGTGCTCGAGCAGTTCAGGGACTTGAGGAACGTCGCGCGCATCGGTACGCACAAGGCGGACTCTCATCACACATGCATGATGGACAGGGGCGGCGTGGAACGCACGACTTGGCAGGACATTGCAGCCGTTTTCGCGGAATTGTGCGAACACCTTTCACGACTTGACGACAGAGCCAGCGCAGCAGGAACATGCAGACGATGACCTCACATTTTTCACAAGTACAGAGTTGGACAAGGCGATAAGAGGGCTCCGCCTTGGCAAGGCCCCCGATACCAAGGGCCTCCGAGCACAGATATTGGAAGAGGGCGCAGAAAAAACTCAAACGTGCATTTTTTCATGTCCACTTCGCGGTTATACAGTTCAACGTCCCACAGCCTCTCAGCTGGAAGAGCACCGCTGTCACGGTGATCCCAACACAATTAGATTCCGCAGTTCCCCATAAGTACCGCCCCATATGCACGATACGACTGCTTTACAAGTTTTTGAGCAGACTTCTCTACGACCGACTCCAAGCCAGCACTTGACTGTCTACAGACAGCAGACCAAGCAGGCTTCAGACCAGGACATTCGACCACTGACAATTTGTTCACATGTCACATCCTCCGAAGGTGCGCACACGAATGGAACCAAACCTATGGGTTGCAGCACTCGATTCCGCAATGGCTTTTGACACTGTCGAACAAGAGAGCAGATGGGCAGCATTCAAGGTGCATGGCGCCCAGCCAGCGCATATGCCACTACTGCAGCAGTTGCGGTTATCTCATGCCTTTCTGCCCATCCCGCCACCATACCTGGCTTGTGGGTCAGAGTCCTCAGGGATGCTTCTTGGGGTCTCTTCGGATCGCTCTCAGGGGCCACTGTGGGAAGCAGTTGTTGAGCCTTTAGGGAGCCTCTTGAGGCCCTCTTGGGGCCTCTTGGGGGCCTCTTGGGGGCTTTTAGGGCATCTAGGGGGCTGGGCTTCTTGGGGCCTCCTGGGGGCGTCGTAGGGCCGAAGGCTCGAAATTTGCGTTCGGGCTCCCCCTGTGGGGCCTCCTCTTGGGGCCGTCCTGTGGTCGTCTTGGGGGCTTCTTGGGCCCTCTTCGGGCCCTCTTGGGCGGTCTTGGAGCCCTCTTGGGGGCCTCTTGGGCCGTCTTTGGGCGATCTTGGGGGCCCCTGGGGCCGTCTTGGATTCTGTGAAAGCCCACGAGGCGAACATGCGAAACATATACGTTTTCCTTAGGAAATGGGATGCGTTTTGCATATTGTGGCCCTCTTGGAGGCCTCTTGGAGCGTCTTGACGGCCTCTTGGACCGTCCAGAAGCGCTCTTTGTCCGTCTTGGGCGCTTTGTGGGGGTCCGCAAAGTTCTTTGGGTCGTTTGGGGCGTTGCACCCGCCCTGGAGGCCCATGCAGAGCCCGGGAAGTTGGTTGCTAGGGCTTGCCAAACATTGCAATCCTGGTTGCAGCAGCAGCAGCAGCACAGCTGTGAGCCTTGGGGAACTCCACTTCGTACCAGAGGCACGGTCGCGGATATAAGAGGGGCAGGTGGCAACAGTCAGGACTTACCTAACCAACCGCACTGAAGCCTTTTACGAGATACAAAGCAGGGCGACCCTCTCAGTTCCCTCTTCTTCAGCGCACTTCTGCATCACACTCTTGGCCCGGGGGTCGCCGAATGACAGAATAATGGCAAGGGGGTCCAGCTAGGACTCACCGAAACCACCGCGCTCACCAACCTTTGCCTCGCAAGCGACGCGTTCCTGACCAGCCGCACTTTTCCGCGCTTCACGACGATGCTCGACGGCATCGTCCGCGCAGCGCAACCACGCGGAATCGAGCTGCATCCTTCCAAAGCCAAGACGCTGGGCAACCAGGCGAAGCGGACTGGCAGAGCGAGCTCGCGCGTGGCGCGCGTCCAGGGCATGGACATCGATAGCCTTCCACGCGAGGGCAGCTTCGAATACCTGAGTCAACTCATTAGCTTTCACGACGCGGTGACGACGACCGCACGAGAGTTGCATGGGTGTCGTCACTTCACGGAAGCAGGAACCGACCAGCAATTCTTACCTACTGGCGCACCGACTCCGGTTTTTCAAACAGCGCTGTCGACCCGACGGCGCTCTACGGAGCAGAGACGTGGACGCTCACGGGACCTATCCGACAAAACTTGCGGCGGACATAGCGACGCATGCTCCGCGTGATCTTCCCCGACGACGCACCAACCGCCTCGCGGACCTCCGCTGCAGCCGCGAGACCAGGCCTGTTGTCGGCACGATCGACGAAACACCAGGCAATGATCTCAGCGCTGACAGCGCCACCGACGACGCGGACGACAACCCGCAACCGCACGACACAATTGCAATTCCAGACAAGCGCAGCGACTGCGACGACGTCACCGCGAAGGTGGGCAACATTCAGCGTTCTACGTCGCGCACAGAGCATCTCATGAAACGCCACGGGATCAACAGCTGGGCGACCAAATTCTCAGGGAGAACTCGTGGCGTATGGTTTCAAAGGTGGCCAACCACGAGCGCACAGGGTGGACGTGGGGAGCATTTCAGTGGCACCAGAGGGAAAAGAAAACGCACGACAGCGAGGGCAGCAACAACAAGGCGGCCAGCGAAAGCGGTGGGACGACGACGTCATCACGTCTTTCCAGCATCAAAGACCCGACCTGCACCCATCGCCAACACCAACCACCTCAGAAGGGCAACCTACAGACTTCACCTGGGTCCAATGGGTTCAAGGCGTGATGCCCACTTAGTCGACACTCCAGCACATACGCACGCAGTGCATGATAGCACACTGCTCGCTCACGAGGGCATTTCGCCGGAATCCACACTCCGGATTTCTTCTTCCTTCCTTCCCTTCTGGTTTAACTGACTGGTCTACCGGTCAAGCTGGCTGCATATTTGCATTCCCATTTGGTCCCAGCTAGGCCCGGGCGATTGGCTGCAGAGGTGGTTCGTTCTTCTTTCTTCCACCTCGTTCGTAGCCGGTGGAAGTTTTCTTTGTCCCGCCAAGGCCAGTTGGCCTTGTCACGATCCCGCTGGAAGCCTAGCTGGATCCGCCACACGAAATAGGAACTCTGCCCCTTCCGCCCGTCCCTTTGGACCTGTATAGGGTTCGAGGCACCCCCCGCCGCCGCGATGAGCCTACGACGGCCCAAGAGAGGTTCAACACGGCCAAAGACAGTATCAGGATGGCTTGCGAGCGCGCCGACGCGTTCCCTTTTGCCCCAAGGCAGCCCCACGAGAGGCCAAGATGGCCGAAAGTGCTTTCAGATGGCCCCGCGACGGGCCCCCAGCACGAGCAGGAATCCTCCAGAGCGCATGGGACCCCAGTGGCTCTGTGGCTTTGGTCTCTTCGGGCACGGGTGCGCTGTCTGCCCCCTCCGACCTCTCTCCCCGTTCTTTTCTCCGTCCTCTCTCCTCAGTCCTTCCTCCCCCTTCCCTCGTCCCGAATGTCCCCTCCTCACTGTGCGTGGCAGCCACAAAGGTCAGCCACGCGCAGAAGGGGGGTATGGGGAGGGGGAAGGCTTCTTAGAAGCACCCCTGCTTAGAAGGCGTGGGCCTTGCCTATGTCGATGTAGGGCCGCCGCCTTCTCAGAAGCAGCTTCCTTCTAAGAAGTCTTCCCTCCCTACCCCCTCCCCCTCCCCCCTGCCCCATTCCCCCCCTTCCACTCCTCCTCCTCCTCCCCCTTCCCCCCCCTGCCGCCCCCCTGGTGGGCGCCGCCAATCTTCATTGCGCGCATCAGCCGCAGACGTCGGAAAGCTGGGCCGTTGAGAGATCCCCCAGCCCTCGACCTGGGCCTCCGAATCTACTCGATTCGATCGGGCCTCCGCCCCCTGGAGCGCCCGACCTGCTCTTCGGGGCTGGCCGGGAGAGGGCCCTCCTGGCTTCGTCCGCCTCTCGGGTGCCGTCCAGAGGGACCGCACGCGCGAGTGCACGGCAACATGATACCGTCTTTCTTTTAACGATGTCGTACCCAGCAGGCTCGGTCAAAACGCTGGTGTGTAGAGGGCCGGTGCCATAGTGCGCATAAGACGCTCGGCTGTCGCCGCAAGTCAGGGGAGCTCGTCGTCCCAGGGTTAAGTGTAAGGGGCCCTAGGCTGCTGCGTCTTCATCGTGGGGGCAAACAGCCCTCCCTCGCTCCCTCATAGCATCATAGCTTCCACCATCAAAGAACCAGACTGATCCACTTACGGATCCAATCCATTATTTCCCTCATTGGCGTCAACGTCATGCGAAGCAGCATGGTCTCCCCCTCGCGCTTTGACAAGATCTCGACGGGAGGCTTTGCGCTTTTTTTTCTCGGCCTCCGGGGGCCCTCGCCAGGCCTCGGGGCCGTCAAAAAACGACTCCGCATGAAAAACCGGCCCTCTGGATCTGGAGAAGGGGTCCAGACCTTTGGGGGTCGACGCTGTGAGAGAAGCACGACGTTTGGGGGTCTGGGTACGCTCTCTCTCTTACTTCCTCGCTCCCGCACCCGCCCCTCTCCCCTCACCCTTCCTCTGTTCATTCTCTCCCACCGCTGCCCCTCCTTGCATGGCTCTTCTCTCGTGCCGCCTCTCGCCCATCTGCTCGCTTTTCCCTCCTTCGTCTTCCCCACTCGTTTTTCTCTGCTCACCTCCTCCGTTCTTATGTGACAGAGGCCCAGTGGCACTCAGGAGCTCCAGTCCTGGTTCCTGGGGTTCTTTCGCCAGGTTCCCGTCCCTGCGTTTTCCGCCCTCCGAATCCCCTGGGTCCTCTGGTTCTTTGGGATCCTTGCGTCCATGCGAGCTGCATTTTAGCGCGTGGTTGTGGGATGGTGTTTGTGTTGCTTTACGCTTCACGCTGCGTTGCTTTACGTCGCTCTGCTCTGTTTTCGTTTGTGCTGTATTGCCTTGCGCTCGCTTCGATTTCTACTGTCTTGCACAGCTCTTCATTGTTTTGCATCTCGCTGCATTGCCAGCGCATACCCTTTCCATGGCTATGTTTTGCGTTGCGCTACGATTGCAATGCATTGCGTTCCTTTCACTGGACTGCCCTGCGTTTTATTGCTTCGCATTGGATTTGCACGGGTGTACCCTTATCTGCTCGGTCCTTGTCAGTGTGATCTATTCAGGAGACATGTTGGTACGTGTGTGCGTGCATCTGGGAGCTCATCAAGGACCGGGCCTCGCTGGAACCCACGCGCGCGCGATGCGCGCGATGTTCTACGGTCTTGAACTTTTGGTTAGCGTGTCGCTCCACCGCTTCTGGCCCACCACGCCTCGGTGCGACACGCCATCCTCGTCGCGGTCACCACGCATCCACGTGCTGAGCTTTTCCCAGCCTCCTGCCCTGCGCAGCGGAGCGACACGCTATCCGCTTGCAAGGCATAGCGTGTCGCCGGGGCCGCCGCTGCGACACGCTAAACAGTTCCCGGCCGCAGTGTGGGAATGGGCACCTCCTCGCCCCCCCCCCGCGGCCGCGCCCCCGGGGTGACCACGCCGAAGGCGGGCATCCCCTCGGACGCGAACATCCTGATCGACAAGCTGCGTCTCACCGCGAGGCGGCACGCCTACGTGTACGGCGAGCCCATGCCGGCGAGCCCCCCCGCCTTCCCACGACCTCCTCCCTCTTCCTCGCCGTGAAGGAGGGGTCCACAGGAAAGGCGTTCTGAGGCTTTTCGCTGTTTTGGGCCTCCCGGGGCCTGTTCCCCGGCCCCGGGGGGCGTCAATAATGATCCAGGATGGAAGAATTGCCCCAGAAGAAGCCCTGGGGTCCAGGACTTCCGCTTTCCTTATGTCTTCTTCCCTTCGTGCGAGGCTCCTTCTCGCCCATCTTTCTTTCTGTGCTCCTTCCCAAGTGATTCCTTTCTCTTCCTCCCGTCCTCCCTTCTCCCTTATTTCTTCTCTTCGCCTTCTTCTTTCCTTCCTCCTTTCCTCCTTCCTCCTCTCTCCCCCCGTCCTGCACCCCCTCCTCTCATCTCCGTCCTCTCTGGCGTTTACTCTCTCTTCCTCGCCTGCTCTTCCATTCCCCCTCTTCCTCTCTTCCCCATCCTCTTCTTCGCTCCTTCCCTGTGACATCCTTTCTCCCTCTCTTCTCAGGCTTCCTTTATATCCCTCCGTGCTCCCCACTTTCCCTTCTATTTCCTCCTCGCTGCTCCCTTCTACTTACCTCCCGCATGACTGCACGACAGCATACCCCCATCTCCTGCGTATCTTGGAACCAGGCTGCGATTGTGGCATCCTCGCTTGCAGATCGGCGCCGCAAGGCGGAGCCCCCTGCGTTGTGTTGTGGCGACGAGGCGGGCCCCGCGAGACAATCAGACCTAGCGGGACCCTGCAAGAAGACGCTGCGGGCCCGGTCGGGCGGGGTGTGTGATTTGGAGATAGGGAAGGAGAGCCCAGACCAACCCCCAACTCCGTTTTTTTGTTTGTGTGTGTATATGTTTTTGGTGTGAAGATACTTATATCAACGTTGACCCCAGAGCTCTAGACCCCTTCTAGGACCGGACTATGGCGAGGGCCCCTGGAGGCCGAAAATCGCCAAAACCTTCTATCGTGTGTTTTTTTCCCAACCATCCTGTGGTGTTGGGTCCTCGTTTTGAAGAGACGGTCCCCGCGTTCCTTCTCCTTCTCCTCGCCCTCCTCCCTCCAGGGTTCGCATGCCTCCCCACCACCCATTTCGGCACACCCCTCACACGTTTCGTGGCCCCATAGGGAGCTCCACCGAAGGCCCCAGTGGCTGCGTTCGCATGCCTCCCCACCACCCATTTCGGCACACCCCTCACACGTTTCGTGGCCCCATAGGGAGCTCCACCGAAGGCCCCAGTGGCTGCGTTCGCATGCCTCCCCACCACCCATTTCGGCACACCCCTCACACGTTTCGTGGCCCCATAGGGAGCTCCACCGAAGGCCCCAGTGGCTGCGTTCGCATGCCTCCCCACCACCCATTTCGGCACACCCCTCACACGTTTCGTGGCCCCATAGGGAGCTCCACCGAAGGCCCCAGTGGCTGGGCCGCATGCCTCCCCACCACCATTTCGGCACACCCCTCACACGTTTCGTGGCCCCATAGGGAGCTCCACCGAAGGCCCCAGTGGCTGCGTTCGCATGCCTCCCCACCACCCATTTCGGCACACCCCTCACACGTTTCGTGGCCCCATAGGGAGCTCCACCGAAGGCCCCAGTGGCTGCGTTTGGGTGGCCCCATAGGGAGCTCCACCGAAGGCCCCAGTGGCTGCGTTCGCATGCCTCCCCACCACCCATTTCGGCACACCCCTCACACGTTTCGTGGCCCCATAGGGAGCTCCACCGAAGGCCCCAGTGGCTGCGTTCGCATGCCTCCCCACCACCATTTCGGCACTCACACGTTTCGTGGCCCCATAGGGAGCTCCACCGAATTTCGGCACCACCCCGTCACACGTTTCGTGGCCCCATAGGGAGCTCCACCGAAGGCCCCAGTGGCTGCGTTCGCATGCCTCCCCACCACCCATTTCGGCACACCCCTCACACGTTTCGTGGCCCCATAGGGAGCTCCACCGAAGGCCCCAGTGGCAGGGTTCGCATGCCTCCCCACCACCCATTTCGGCACACCCCTCACACGTTTCGTGGCCCCATAGGGAGCTCCACCGAAGGCCCCAGTGGCTGCGTTCGCATGCCTCCCCACCACCCATTTCGGCACACCCCTCACACGTTTCGTGGCCCCATAGGAGCTCCACCGAAGGCCCCAGTGGCTGCGTTCGCATGCCTCCCCACCACCCATTTCGGCACACCCCTCACACGTTTCGTGGCCCCATAGGGCTCCACCGAAGGCCCCAGTGGCTGCGTTCGCATGCCGCCATTTCGGCACCCCTCACACGTTTCGTGGCCCCATAGGGAGCTCCACCGAAGGGCACACCCCTCACGTTCGTGGCCCCATAGGGAGCTCCACCGAAGGCCCCAGTGGCTGCGTTCGCATGCCTCCCCACCACCCATTTCGGCACACCCCTCACACGTTTCGTGGCCCCACAGGGAGCTCCACCGAAGGCCCCAGTGGCTGCGTTCGCATGCCGCCCCCACACCAACTTCGGTGCACCCCTCACACGTTTCGTGGCCCCATAAGGAGCTCCACCGAAGGCCCCAGTGGCAACGTTCGCATGCCGCCCCCACACCCATTTCGGCACACCCCTCAAACGGTTTGTGGCCCCATAGGGAGATCCACCGAAGACGGTACTCACATCAACATTACTAACAACTGCATATGGTTGGGTCCTTCGCCAGGCTAATTTGAAGCGCGTGCAGGGCTGGGGAGGATCCCTGCCGACCCTCTGGCCCACAGCGGGGAGCCCCTCCCCGCGCTGCGCCATCCCTCGAGCAGGGGATCGACCACAGAGTTGATTCACCCCCCAAGATTTAATTTCCCGCCGAACCAACGGAACATGCGTAGAATGCGCCGTAGATCTACGGCACATTCGACGTGTCTGTCGTAGATCCGACGAGCAACACAGTGTTGGGGCAACTCAGTTCTGCAGTCGATCCCCTGCTCGAAATCCCACGCGCGCCTGCCTGCCACCACCCGCGGGGCGTGGCGAGCGCCAGCACGCCCAAGCCGAGAGAGGAGCGGAGGAGTCATGCCGCCTCAGCAACCGGGCCTGGCGCGTGATCGAAGCCCGTAACCAAGTCAGGCTTAACAGGCGGGACGCCTTGCGGTGAACCATGCGCAGTCCACCGACTGCTGTCTGGCCCACGCAGCGGGGCGGAGGCAGAGGAAGGGTACGTTACGAGCGCTGGCGTGCGCCCCTCGGAGTGACCAGAGATGTGGACAAGGCCGAGATCGGCATCGGCTCGGATCGACACCTAGATGCCCGCGGACTGTGTGTGTGTGCGTGTGTGCACCGTACCGCGTTGGCGTCTTGCGAGGAGTCGCCGATCCTCGACCCAGGTATGGTACGGTGCATATTCTTCCAGCCCTCAGATCCGAAGCACTACTCGCCGTACCGCGTTGGAGCGAGGCCTGAAGGGAGCCCAGCGTCGATGCTGGCGATGGCCCCTCTCTTCGGAGTGCCAAGAGTTACAGCGACAGCAGTCGAACCATTCATCAAGGCTCATATCCAGCGCAGTGGTCGTACTTGGACAGGCCTCGAGGGCTTGGTCGCGCGCACTTCTGGAACGCCCCATACGAGTACGGACGAAGGCATATTGTTCCCCAGCCTACCTTGCCGAAGGCACGACCGCGAGGCTGAGGTATGACCAACAAGCTCAGGCATCACTGCCGAGGCTGCGCTACAGCCTCGGACAG